GCCTTTTAATTTCCTGGCTACTGGTGCCAAGAGTGAAGTCAGTTTACATTTAGATATTTAAAATGTATTATTAAGAGCCATAGAATTGATTCTTGTAACCCCATATGACAGAATTACTATTTCATAGGATTTTCTTTCTAGAAGCAGATCCTCAGATCTTCTATGCCTCTACTGAGTGGGTTAAGACTCTCATGAAGCCCAACCGTTACAAGCCCAGCATTTCATTGTGCCTCTGTTGTTTTGTTTACTGCCAAGTTGAAACTGGCCCACAGCTGATCCTTTGGTGGATTTTCAGAGGCATTTCCTTGCATAGGAGAGATTGTCCATCTTTCTCTCGTAGAGTAGCTGGTGGATTCAAACCATGTACCTTCAGAATTATAGCATAGCTTGTCACCAGAACTCCTTTGTTAGTTGTTGTTGTTGTTGTTGTTATGTGTCCTTGAGTTCGTTGCCACTCATAGCAACCCTGGATACAATAGCTCTGAACCATGCCCTGTCCTGAGCCAGTCTCACTGTCCACTCCTACCTCCGCTGTTGCAGTTACTGTGAGTCCATCTAATCCAGGGTCTTCTCCTGTACCATTCCTCCACCCTTCCAAGCATGATGTGCATCTTTAAGGACTGAACCCTCCTGGCAACATGCCCAAAGTGTGTGAGACAGAGCTTCAGAATACTTGCCTCCAAGGAACAGTTTTGCTTCATCCCTCCAAGAGAGACCTATTTGTTCTCTTGACAATCCATGATATGTTCAGTACTCTTCTCCAGCACCACAACTCAGAGGCATCAATTCTTCTTCTGTCATCCTTAGTTGTTGTCCGCCTTTCTGAAGCATAGCAAGTAATTGTGAAGACCATGGCCTGGATCAGATACATCTTAGTCTCTAGACTGACATTGCTCTTCAGCACTCTGGAGAGATCCCTGACAGCATATTTTCCTAATGCAATTTATCTTTTGATTTTCTGATTGCTGGTGCCAAGAATGTTGTTTGTGCAACTGAACAGGATGAATTTGTTTACAACCTCAGTCTCGTCTCCATCTGTCATGGTGCTGCCAGTTGGCCTCCTTGTGAGAATTTTTGTCTTTTTGATGTTGAGCTTCA